TTCCATCGCGAATACTTTCAAGAAATTATATTCCGGTACCGATCGTGGGACCTTCAGGCTGTAGGAGCTTCCAAGGTGAAGCCTTCAGAGTTGGTCCCATCGGACCTAAGTAGCCTCGGGGCAACGAGATTTCTATCTTTTCCTTGTGTCTATTAGCTATTTGCCGTGTCGCGACCCCTTGACACGGTTACGAAATTTCTCCATGGCGACGCCATACGAAGTCGTTCGTAAATGCCATAGGAAGAGAAACAGACAGCAGTCACTTTTCTCATTCTGTTCCGAGTTTTACGTATCGGCGAGGAAACCGGGATGGGAAAGTTCTATCAGGTCCTATCAGGCGAAAATAGGACGCTAAAAAATGTTCCGTGACGTCACGCTTCAATACCACCAACTGCCAGAAAAGCGAGACCCCACGAGTTGATAAGAGCCGTCTTCACTTCTCAGATCGACGCCGTCCTTCGACACGGCTGCGTTAATTCCAGCCCGATTACCGGACGTAATGCCCCCTCGACGACATTAACCCGGTCTGGACGAGACACGTTCTTCGCGATGACTTTGGAGCTCTCCGTTTTACGAGTCACAACTCTTAACCCTCGGAACGCCAAGATCGGGTCAAAATGACCCGATGGCCAGTCCTCCAAGGTTCCGTTGGAATCATTTCTTTTTTTGGTATCTACTTGGGAAATAAATACATAAATATCTTAAAAAGGTATGTGTAGCTTCTATTCTGAACAAAAACCTCATTCGTTACGAGAAATATATATGGGTCAAAAATGACCCGATCTTGGAGTTTCGCGGGATGCAAATGATCTTGGCGTTCCAAGGGTTAAGGTGGCTTGCTGTAAGTCGTTGGAACCGAAGCGATTGATACCTGATGATACATACCAGTAGGCAGGCCCGGCGCGGGAAAATGCGTGGCCCCCCCTGCGGCAAAGACATTGGGCCACCTCTGGGTTCCGAAGATTTGCCCCTCACTTCATTTTTTATTATCGAAGTTATATTAGGAAGAAAAAATGAAAATCACTACATTTTTATTAAGCAAGGAAAGGATAGGAATTTGTGTAGGTTGTCCAAAGGTTCAGCGTTCGTATTCTCGGAACCTTTGCCACCAGCTTATCGATCACTTTCTTGTGATTCAATGACCTGCTGATCTCCCTCTCGATAGAGTATGGCTTGTCCTGTCGGGCGTTCTTGTGACATGCTTGATAAGTTATACATTTTTTCATTTTGGTGAAGCTTCTTTCTGCAGACGCAACTCTCACTGGAGCTGTGAGTAGCATTCCAAGAACAATGGACACGTTAGGATACACGGGCCTGACTACTCTTGTGAATGAATCGCGGAGTTCCAAGAGCATCAAGTGGCTCTGGTCGAAGCGTAGCCAGACTGCGAAGCTCATCGACAAGGTCGTTGATCTATTGAGGTTAACCTTGGTAAAAGGTGTCTAAACATTTCGGGTACCATCGATGATTAGGATTGTCACCCGTTCATAAATAGTATTGGTAGTATATATTTCAGACGCTTCGTAGATACTGCAAACTGGTCTTAATATGGACACTGTTTTTGTCCATGTCATAAACTTATTGAGATTTTTGTAATTAATAAAACTTAATAGGAGCTAAAACGGCTCTTTTCCGTAAGTCAAAAGTACCAGGTCACACTCTCATAGTATCAATTGGCGTCTTGGCTCTGGATATTTGTAGCATAGTCGCATAACAAGTACCTCGTACTTCGAATATATTTACATATTTCTATGCTTCCACGTTTTGTTTAATTCAAATGTGGCAACCCTATCAATGACTCGGTAATGAACATAAAGACATTTCACGACATGATCAAGGGAGACGAGAGAGGGAGAGGGATGAAAATGAGATAGACCCTTCTACGCGGACGTCTTTCTCACCTCCTCGAGTGCCTGCAAGCGCGAGGATTTCATGCAGAAAGGACGGAGGAGTTAAAATTAAAATCTAAATCTAAAATATACTTTCCATGCATTTGGTGGCGGATTTCGCTCAGCTTGGCCTTCTCGCCTGTCCAGAGTAGGAAGATCTTGGAATATTCTGTCTCATTCAGAGCTTGGTTCTCATTCGGAATAACTAGCAGCGTTTCAAGGTTTTTTCTCTTTTGCTTTCGTTCTTCCTCTTACTTATCATTTATTTCTTCCTCTTGGGGCTGGGGCCCCCTGCGGCCGCAGGGGTACTCGCGCCGGCCCCGCCAGTAGGCAAGCTTAGATCAAATTAATGGGGAATGCAAGTACTACGAATGGGTGTTTTTGTCTCGTACGTTGCCAGGTGACGATTTCTCGAAGACATTAAAGACAACGATACATAGTGCTTGTGGAGTTAATTCGACTACACTGCTCCTTTGAGACCACCGTAAGTCAGGAGTCAGGAGAGTTAGTGATATCAAGAGGCGATTTCGCCCATTTCGATATCACGTGTCGAGGTAGAGCGTTCCTTAATTTAGGGTAGGCCTAACCCTCTTAAAGCTAAATATTTTTGTATTTTTGTTATTTTTTTTTTTTTTTTTTTTTTTT